TAAAGAAAGTGCATTCGGACATTTCTGTGTTGGTAAATTGAACCATTTTCCAATATTAGTAATTTTATAGCTTACGACTCTTAAAACCACTTCAAATAAACTACGATCACTACTTACGCACTGCTTTTAAATAATAAGTTATGTCAAAGTCAGATTTGTTTGAGTAGCAATTGTTTTTCCTTTGACATGAAATAAAGTGCTCTTCATTTTTCATCTCGCAAACGAAGCGAGATACGAATAAAACTCAGGAGACAAAAAAAGTTGTATTTTCGGCTGCTTAATTCGAAAAAATTGAAAATAGTCGGTAGCGCACAATTTTTGTGTTAAATATATTGGTTAGGGTGTTTTCCGGGACGCCAATGGGTTGGATAATTTCAATCTAATTGGGCATAAATTAGCCCCCTAGTGCCCTTAATACCACTGCTAAATTTAAACTAAATCGACTGAAAGTTTATCAAGATATTTAGAAAAAAAAGCAATTTTTTAAAAACAGTTTGAACATTTGTCTTCAAAATGAATCATTTCTGAACCTATTTTTATAAAAAATTGTCATCTTAAAATCACTCAAAGTATGTATAATAAAAGGCCCAAAAACACTAAAAACGGCTAAAACTTAATTTGAAGTTTTTTGATGCTGGCTATTTTACTTTTTTTCTATCAATCAGTTGTAAATGTTTTTTACGGAAGAAGCCGCGCAGGCAGAAGCCTAAATGCCAGGAAACCGCGGCGGCTATGAGGGTCTCAAATAAATTTTGTTAATTCGATTTTTGAACTGCCTAAAGTTAGTAGAACTGGGAAAAGCTTCCCCTTGTAGACTGTTCCACAATCTCGACACCCTCGGGATAAAGAACAAACAAAACAAGACTGGTGGTGTTTATGTTTTATGGAAATTTTTAATCAATTATATCTCTTGTTCACAATTTGCACGTAAACATAAAACAATTATTTATATTGTAGATTTCCATGTGTATAAATAGTATGTGTCTAGGTATTATGGGGTAACATCAAGAGTAGCATGATATTTTGATATTAAATTACAGTGAATTACTATGCATAATAATAAAAATAATTCATCTAACAAAGAACTGTTTTAGGTTGAATAATGGTAAAATAACATTAGTAAGTTTTTATATGATTCAATAACCAGTGATGATTTGTACTGCTTTTTGCCTAAGTCAGTTCCCATATTTTGTTTTAAACCAGCTATTATCAGAGCAGCAGTATTGATATGCAAAGTTCACTATAATTGCAATGAAATTGATGCTATGCTGAAGATCAAATCAATTTATTGGTCATTATTAACAACTTATACAGTTACCGGTAAGAAGACACTGATGCTTAGAATCAAAATATTATTTTTTAAAGACAGGTGACTAAGAATGAAAATAAAATATTGAACATTAAGAAATCTTGATAATTGGCCGGTTCTGGTTGTACGAAGTTCGACACGGTTAGGATGCGAGGCCGTCTGAAAATTTGAATGTTATATTGGTTGGAGTCACATAGTTTTTTATATTTGCCCAAATAATTTCAATAGGATTTAATTCGCCTTGAAACGGTCCTATTTTGGTTTTTAGCCATTTCGTCAATAACGTTAAGATTATATTTATATTTGTGCTGCCTGAATAGATGGATAAGTACTACTTTGAGCATATTTTTATTGATACTAATGTCTTTTGATAGGAGCCATTGTTGAATTTCTGCCTTTCTTGTGGACATTGTGGGAACTTTTTCTAGTTTTTTAGTGTGGTATGCATCATTATCAAGTACAATGACGGCATTGTCGGGAAGCTTTGAGAGCGTTTCTTCAAACCATCGTTCAAATAAACTTCCGTCCATTTATTCATGGTAGTCGGTCGTTTTCTTTGACTCAAATGCCCATAGGGCAGTGGGCACAAAGCCATCTTCACTGCCAATGTGACAGATCACAAATCGTTTTCCTTTTCTTGAAAATAATTATTTCATATAATATTCAAGAAAACTAATAATAAAACAAGCAGAGTCTCTAACAGGTGTTGGTTCAGTCTACTTGACACCATTTTTACAATATAAATTACGAATTGGTTATATACACGTAACTGATGGTTTTTTTAGACCAGTGCGATTAGTCCATCTAAGAAGGCTTGTCTTCCTGATTTAACAGTATAGTCAGCCAATACTTCAGGTTTTGTATGTCCTGCATTTATCCAGGTTTAATCCAAGTAATAAATCTTCCTGCCCTGGTCGCGGTATTCCTTTATTGATTTTAAATAATTTCTTCTCCATAAAATAATCTCTTGACTGTCCATCAAAATACTATTTCTGCCCCGTTTTCTATACTCAAAATGAAGTTCTTTGAGTAAACTATAGAATGTGGTCCTTTTGAAAGTAGGTAAGTCTTCATAACTATTAACCTCCTGTAATACTTTATCTATGGCTGAAGGAAGAATTGGGAGAAATATTCTCTGCTGTATCCGTAGACGACATGCTAACGTATAAACACACGCTATGTATGCACCGAATAAGAAGCAGCTGCCGGTATCGGCGTGCCGGCGATACCCCGAACCCGAGTTCCTGCCTGCACTTGTTCGTGGTTTTATGGTGGAATGACCAATAGCTATTGCAACGCTTAGACGGCTGCCGCTTTGCCGTGCTGCATGCTGCATCTTTGTTGTGCCTGGGCGTAAATGGACTACGAATAGGGTATAGATCGCCGACGGCCCGCCTATACGAAAGGGTCCCGAGACTGTCTGTAAAGGTAAGTATTCACTTGGAGACCACGTTACGCGATTTTCTTTAGGTGGTCTAGAGACCCTCTAGACTTGAGACATAGACATGGTGTAGAAACACCGATCTTTGCCTCGTCTAGCGTCCACACTGTGATGGGAATTTTTCTAGTCTCATCTTCGCCAACCACCATGGCGGACCTTGCTTTGTGCGCAATGAGTACCTGTTTAGTAAAAATGCGCGAAAACGCAAACGTTGGTGGACGCGCGAAGTGTTCGCAGAAGGACCTAGGTTCGGTACCGAACTAGTAAATAAATTAAGATTGGGGGACAACATTTGTCGTTTGACCACATGGTAAACAAAAACAGCAGAGACCGCATGCACTTGTTCACAAAGCAAGAGAGGTACTGGGAAATGTATCGTCTATGGACGCGAGGTACTCACTATCACCTTGTTGCGCAACGTATCCCAACGTTGCATCAAGTCTCCCATTTCAATCGGGAGACTTGAGACCTGCTGTTTTTAGTTTCGCAACCGCCCCGTAGACCGGATTTGGTCTATAGACATGTCTACCGAGACATACTGAGACAACTTTAGACATGTCTCTGAGACCAAAATCGCGAGACATGTCTACTAGTGAGTACTAGGCTTTAGAGAAGCGTCATCGATCAGTCGGACAGCCCTCCTCTGGACAGCATCCAGCATATACAGGGTGTAAAGTTAGTAGTGGATCAACGGAAGTCAGGTGATAGCGGGCCTCAAAACCTATCGTATGAACCCCTATATGTGTGGTCCGAAATTTTATAGTTGAGGAGATATTTGCAATTTTGTGAAATTTCGAAAAAAACGGGATAATGAACTTTCCATTGCAATTACAACTAAATCATTAGGTTCAGGGCTGTGTTTTTTCTGAAATGGTTAGTTTTAGCAATGGTTATGACACTTTTCAACACAGCTTATTAGAAATCAACGCAAAAAATCTTGAATTAATTTTTTTGTGAAAAATCTCTTCCATCCCTCAACTTTGCAAGGCGGTAAAAAAATTGAAGTTGTATTTCATTATTTATTTTATTGTAAAAACTATTTCAATCCATGAAGAATAAACCCTGAAAATTTCAGCTTGCTATGATAAGTGTCTCACCTTAAAAAACTGTATGTTTGACGCAGGTGAGAATCTATACAAACATGTAAACAAGAAATTTTATTTTACGAGCTACAGTCCAAACGACTTGATAGATTTTGACGTATGAGGTACTGTTAGATTCGTCCTAGAAGTGCGAGTTATACTGTGTGTATTAACATTTTGTAAAACCAAAGTGGAGGATTTTTTACGCAAATAGCCAAATCAGCTTAATGAGCTTGGACATTCAACTCGGCATTCCAGGTGCGGGAGCGTTCACTCTTCGGTCCATCTGGATAGAATCATGTCATATTCTCCGCGAAATTATGCAGCTAGGAGCGCCGGGGATACGCCCAGAATAAATAGAGGATATAATAGAAGCAGCTGAGAGAGATCCCTCTATAAGCACCAGAGCCATTGCCCGAAGCAGAAACATATCCCACACAGGTTGAATGGTCAGTCATATCTTGCTTTTCTAAAAAGCAGTTTGCAAGAGCAATGTCAACCATCTGCGCCCAACGAATCAGAAAAACGATAAATCAAGAATAAAAATTATAGAAAACGCAAATTTATTCCAAAGACTAAAGGACAAGTTTATTAGGAGGTGTCGCTTGTGTATAGAAAATAATGGAGGCCCTTCGAACATGTTCTTTGAAAGTTAGTTAAATTATCTTTCACATTTGTCGGTAAATCGTCATAAACAGCGGCTAAACACCATAGGTTCTGTACTAGTGTACTTGAAGGTGGTAAGGATTATATTGCATTTCTTACGTTTATCGCATCACAACAACGAATGTGACATGAAATTTACAAGATTGTTACCTCACCAAGCAGTGATAACCTGCAAGTCTCACATCAGAGAGGAAGTCGCAACTTGTCTTAGATCCTTTTTTGGGATGGGTTGGACATGAGCAAATTTCTAGTTTTCAGGAAATGTGCTGGATTCATAAGATATTTGGAAGAGACCCGAAAGAACTGGAGCAAGCTATATACGTATAAATATTCTTGTCCTGAATAGAAACTTTCAATTTTCATGACGTCAAATCAACTTAAAAGTCGGTTGACTGCTATACATTCGAATGGCACGAATTATGCACAAATATATGAGTAACGAATTATTTGAATTCTAATCTACTCCTATACATGGTTTCGGGTTGAAGAAAAACAAACATAGTGTTACAGAAGCAAAATATATTTCAAATTAAAATAAAAAACAGTCCTCATATAATATCTATTTTAATGACATAGAAGCTTGGATTTGGTTTAAGTGTATTCACTAGGTAGGTGAGTAGCAGCATAATTACATAACATAGTATGTGCGTATTCTACAAATCCATAAGGGTTTCTTTAGCGCATTTTACAATTGAGTGCATCAGCTTGATGAAGCCTGTATCCTTGGGTTTTTCAAGGCCGCGCAATAGTCTGTTTTTCATCACAGCAATAAATTCTTTATTACTAAGCTGGCCATCCACTGAAAAAATGAAAAATTAAGCACGTTATGATTAAACAAATTTATCTAAGATTTTTACTTTCGATCACATTTTATAACTATAAATGCTGTCGCATCGAGAAGATACTTTAGAGACAAAATGTTGTCAGACGACTGCGCGAAAAGTATCTGACTGTACTATCTTGGCTTATAGCTGACTGGCGAGACGCAGAAGGAACTACACAAGAAAAAGTAGTCCTATGGGGTACGTAACTCAAGCAATTTGGAGCCAAATTATAATACACAAGCTGAACTCAATAGCCCACTTAAACAAGTACAATTTAAAAAAATGCAAACATCCCGATTGCAATAATTGAAAGCGAAAGGAGAACTCAAATGTTAAAATCCACCCAGGGGGCTGTAGACTGTAGCCGAAAAACAGGCCTTTTGGGATAACCAATTAGAAATTCTCAAAAACTACTTGACCAATCTACTCCAATTTTGTTGTGGTTATTTAGAAGTATGAATCCTACGAATTTCAAGTGTCTGCGAGAAACCATCGTCGCATTACCAACAAGTGCCAAAACCTGCAGTTTGCCTCGGTTTTCGGCCATAACATGTTTGCTATTAGTCGGATCTTTTTACGTGTAGTCTCATTTTGTAGGTCTCATAATTAACTAAAAATATAATATGAAGAATTTTTTCGTTTCTGCTAAGAAGGCTTTTTACCTGGACAGTTGTAAGATAATTTTGATTTACCTCATTTCACTTCTTGTTTTATCGAGCACTCAGTCACAATCTAAGGTTTGTTAACAGAATTGTATACCTAACAACAACATTGAAAACGGTAAAATATTGGAGACAAACGAATATTTTTGGTGAATACTGATAAGGGCCATCCAAAATTTTAACCCAACTAAAATAAACTAAATTTTAAATGGAGCTATACCTTTTGGATTGTTTTTGGATCTGCCAAAAGCATATGATTGTGTGTACCATAGGATACTGTTAACCTAGCTAGAAAATTATGGTATAAGTGGAAGCCTTCTAAAGTGTGTTGGATCTTATCTCTCACAACGCAAGCAAAAAACTGTAGGTACTAAAAATGTTAATACAGCAAATCCAATGGGATTCATACATCAGTGGGTATCCCTAAGGGTAGTATTCTTGGACGTCTTTTATTTATAGTCTTGTAAAAGATAAGTCATTAGATCTTGATTATTCCTCTGAAGATTCTCCTGAGGAGATATTCCAAGAAGCTTCGTTTTTTACGATAAAGTTTCTGCATGATTTACATAGAACAAATTAGTGTTACATGTAGAAAAAAGCATGGCAATTGTGATATTTCTTCGAGTTTTAAATATTTGTAACTATGTTGATTTTGATACTAAAAATAGTTTGCCATAATTTTGAGTGTATTCTAAAATTTGGAATAATTTTTTATGGAAAAAGCATTTATATATATATCGATAGTCCAAAAAAGAGTTCTGCTTAAAATGACACAAAGAGAATCATTCCGTGGAACATTTTGTTTTAATAATATTTTAACTATAACTGCTATTTATTTACAAGAAGTCTGACTGTTGGTCTTAAGAAATAAACCGTTGTTTCATGAGTATCTACCAGGGTGTGATTATAACATTAGATATTTCAATTATACACTGAGAACCAAATTTGTCTGACGGCTTGAGAGAGAAGTGTGCAAAGTCACATACGCCGGCTTGCTTAGCAACGCCGATGCGGCAAACTGCCGCGTTGCGAATATGTTACACCAGTTCCTTGAATTAAGATGCATATTGATAATACATGTTAGTTTATCCTTTACGTCCAAATAGTGCTTTTATTTTGAGCGTACACAATTTTGAATTGAGAATTGTGTTTAGCTGAAAATGAAAGGTCAGGATCGCCATAAATTCTGCAACATTGCATCTGGTTCGTTTAACAACGCCGCGTCTTGTACATTCCAAGGCAAGGTTTCCACCTCGCTGATCATAGTTGAGCGATTTTGTTCAGTACCCATCTAGCGCTCGTGGGGGAGTGTCAGCCTGGTTCGAAATGGCTTTCACCTGCGAACACGTAGGTAGAGAAATTTGTATTGTGAAACGTTACTTGACTTTATCACTATCGGTGGAAATAAATGATAATTCTAAAAGTAATTAAAAAACTAAGTAGCATCAAAATTGAAATAAATAAATATACTAAGTGACATATAAATCCGAACACCCAGTTTAAATGGTTTTATTTTAATAAAATTTTGTATAAGTACTTAATGAAGCATAATAAGTAAATGATAAAAATTTCAAAATGATTGCACTGCTTTAAAGCCCTTTGACCTTAATAATGTGTGGATGCACCCTGATGTGCTACGCATTCTCCAACGCGCCTACTCATGCTTCTGATCAGGTGGTCAATGTCCTCCTGTGGTATCTCATTCCAGGCAACCACCAACTCCTCTCGAAGTGCTTCTAGAGTCCGAGGAGGGCGTTGCAAATTGAGCAATCTCCTACCCATCATATCCCACACGTGCTCAATTGGGGATAAGTCGGGAGATCTTGGTGGCCATGGTAACAATGTGACATCATTATGTTGACTCTTGCAACATGTGGTCGGGCATTATCTTGTTGGAAAGTTGGATCTGCCAGGGTGTCAAGATAGGGTAAAATATGGGGTTCTAGAACTTCGTGGATATAACGCTGCGCGTTCATGTTACCTCTGATGAAGATTAAAGGTGACCTGGAACCATAAGATATAGCACCCCAAACCATAACTCCAATAGTGTGATGAACATGTCTTTCAACAAAAAACTGTGGATTCCTCCTTTCACCACGTCGCCTTCTAACCCTTACGTAGGAGATTGCTCAATTTGCAACGTCCTCCTCAGACTCTAGAAGTACTTCGAGAGGAGTTGGTGGTTGCCTGGAATGAGATACCACAGGAGGACATTGACCACCTGATCAGAAGCATGCCTAGGCGCGTTGGAGAATGCGTAGCACATCAGGGTGCATCCACACATTATTAAAGGTCAAAGGGCTTTAAAGCAGTGCAATCATTTCGAAATTTTTATCATTTACTTATTATGCTTCATTAAGTACTTATACAAAATTTTATTAAAATAAAACCATTTAAACTGGGTGTTCGGATTTATATGTCACTTAGTATAATTCGAATCAAAATGAAAATAACATACCCCTTTCTTGGGTTTGACAGTAACTTATAGTATCCTAACCTATTGAAAAAGCCTGCGCGAATATTTTCTAGCATGGTAGGAACGGCATGCTTCTATGATTTTCATCCGCAATTCCTCGAAAGTGGTAGCCCTTGAATGGGGGTAACCGTAAATGCGGGTCTTCACATTTCCCCGTAAAAAGAAATCATTAGGCGCCAAATCAGGACATCTGACAGACCATTGTTGTTGTTTGGTGTTTCAAAAAATTCCCGATCCTTTCCCCCAACCTTATCCTCTGGAACATTTCCTTCTGCTTCATAATTCTCCCTTTGACATGCTTCATGTTGATAAGAGTTGATGCAGCCACGATTGACGAAGTTAGCAGAAGTTAGTTAGTTAGGCAGCAGCGGTGGCTGCAGTAGTAGACTCTTCGGTCTCCTGATCAGTCGCCGTGTGCTGTGCGGGTTCGAGTCCCGTCCCAGGAGAAATTTTTCTCTTGGCTATGGATGTTGTGATTGTCCGTACGTGGTAGACGGTCTCTGACTGTCGAACGTGGAGGTACCACTCGGCGGATCTCGTAGGCGGAGCCAGAATGTGTGCATGTTACATGCACACGTGTTCCCTCGCCAGAGTCCTTGTGGCGTTCCCCCTTTCCCCTGTATCCCCCTATAGCCCCACGGTACCCAATGGGTGTTTAGGCCTTAGGCCTTCGTGGTAGTTGGAGTATAAAAAAAAGATGTTCAGTTGAATCCCAAAAAACACGCTTTTTCATTCTTTGTTGTCGAATAAAGTTTTCCCACAAAAATTGGAGTACTCATGTTATGCGTCCATGTTTTAAATAATCCCTTGAACAACTTGCAGCGATAAAACCAACTTTACAATTATTTCGCAAACCAGGGGTATTTTCATCTAATATGATTAGACTAGTACAAGAAGACAGGCGCAGGTATATCCTGACTGTAAAAAGAAAACTTTGAAAAGGAAATTTAGTAAATAATATTCTTTTAATGATAAATCTCTAAGGAATATAAGATACCAATAAAGCAGTGTTTTATTTGTCGAATAAGAATTAGGTTTTGAAATCCATACATGGTTTCGCTATTAACTTTCAAATTCAAAGTTTGACCGCAAGCTGACACGAGTTATCGTTCCCCGATTCCAATAATATTTATTTTTTGAGTTGTTAGTGACAAACGGAAAAAAATAAAGGATATGTATCTCAATTCGAACAAAAATTTGTTTGCTCTCATAGGCTGGGACACCTTAGTGTGCATCTTTTCAGAGATATCTGAGATGCCTAAATTTTATTTGTTCACCGTTCCCAAATTATGTCTTCAGATTCGCGTTAATGAGGGAAAAATACATGAAAAAAATATAGTGGGACTTCCAGGACGCACCATTTTTTTATTTTGTGGGCTTGTCTTATGTTTATTAATCAAGTTACTCACAGTTGTCATCGAATATGGTGAACACTACATGGACCACGTGATCGCTGAGATCAACGTGTGCAACAGTTCTGGCAACGTGCTTCAAAGTTGGTTCATCGATGGCTGCTCCGGCAATATGGTAAAACGTTAAAGCCGTGTCTACGTCGTTTATGTTATTCAAGAAGTGGAAAAAGTTCAAATAATCCGTTTGAGATATTCCTTGGCCGTGGTCCCTGAAACTAAGAAACGTACGTGTGATAAGAGTAACTGGGAACTCAGAGCTAGAATAATTATTAATTCCTGATGCACCGTTCTCCCAAAAGCAACCCAATACCGACGGAATCTCAACTCCAACCCGGTTGCGACTTCAGTCTCGTTACTTTTTTGTTCTTGCCGAAAACAACTACTGAACAGCCTCGTTTGGAGGTTGTGGAACAAGTCGCTAAATCACTCACTACTAGTAAGAGGGCAGAATATAAATAGACTATTTTTATTCTGAAAAGTCTTGACCAAAATAAAATCGTATAAGGAACGTGTTTTACAAACACACATTTCGTCGTTTTTTGACGTTTTATAGGTTTTTTGTGACATTAAGTAGGTTTTTCTACAATATGTCGACTTAGCACTAGCTGTTGTACTCCTGATGTGTACTCGTTCCGCAGCTGTACGTGTTGCCTAAACATCATGATGCTTCATAGATGGAATTATTGGAGGTCTAAACTGTAAGTTGTACAACTATAGCTGGAAGGAAACGGCAGTGCATAGGTGCATAGTGAGGATTCGTGTGCTAATAATCTGTGCGGATAATAATTCCATTGGTTTCTTGTCTCAAATACACTTACTTGACATGTATGCAAACCTAAAAATTAGTTACATGTCGCTTCGTGGGTAAATATGGTACACACAGGAATATTTATGAAACGTAAAAAAATATTACGTTACACATTAATTTTTATTTACAGTCATTTAAATTTTATAAAAATGTATTTACGGTATCAAGTAGCAAATACAAATCAGCACCTAGATGTGAGGCATTGCGAAAATGTTTTGTTTGTGATGCATCATTCTTAATTTTTCTGTGAAGTGGCTTAGCTACACACAACGCGGGTGCGGTACTGATTTTCCGTAATGCTTCTCAAAGTTTTTGAAAGCGCAAAAAGAACGGAGAAACTCGTGATGTATAACTTTGTACATAACCTCTATTCAGTAAGGACAGCACAAATAACCCGTCTGACACAGCTAATAGATATATCTCATGGGCCGCCTTTCCAGTAATAATTTTCTCACATAGCAACTACCACTGATTTTATACACATGCAGACCAATACACACAATCATCTAGATGTGATCTTGCTACTCTGCTACTCAACCATACATCTTCTTTACTGACGTTCTCGGCATTCTGCAATCAACAAAGCATGATGGGAACTGACCTTCAGCTTGCAGCACAGCGAGTAAACGCGGAATGTACTATTTGCACACTAGGAACTATATAGGCAAATTGACATGTCATTTTTTGACGTTTTATTTTACGTAATTTCCCTGCGGGTAGCAATTCTACTGTCAGTGTTAAGAAATACAGTTCGCCGCAAGATAAGATAACGATACCCGCACAAAAAGCAATTATCAATGATTTTTGTCGAAGATACAAGCAGGGACTTAGTTGAAACGTCAGAATGACATCCACGGATGACAACAGTAAGGCTCTTTTCTAGGGGTCAATAACTGGCGAACTACCTGCCTCTCTAGTTCAGCAACTCCTCGGGCGCCAGCCTCCTGTTTAGAGTGTGGAGACAACACTATAGACTGAAACAGTCACCTAGGTAGCTTCAGTGAAGAAACTAATTCAGGGATTTGATGCTTCACGCTCAAAGGGTCAGACTCGAGATACTTACTCTTTACTTTCTACTTCTCTTTTTGTATCTCTTACTTCAGGCAGGACGGTATTTGTGATTAAAAGCAAGACTTATAACACAACCTGGTATATTAACAGCAAAAATATATACACTTAATGCACGGTCGCGATATCTCCAGTTATATGTACAAATGAGATAAATCCCTATATGAATCTGGCTACCCTAGAGATAGAGCGGAGAAGGAGGACAATCGGTTAACTCTGGGCCAAGCGGAATCAAAGGCGGTTAAAAAGCAACAGTTAAAGCGGAAGCAGTATGCGGTCAAGCTAGCAAGCGGTAATGGTGCGATGCAATAAGCACAAAGAAATGAACGGTCTTCAGCAATATGGTTATGTTTGGGTGAAGAATAAGACCAGGCGTTTAGTTAACCCGCGTCTACTTCAAGCTTTGCTTGTCTCGTCCTCGCTGGGATTTGAGGCTTTACTGGGATATAATGATCAGAATCAGATATTGGTACGTATCTTTCTATAGTTCTGGAGCCTTCAGGGACGTAAAAATATATTATATATAATTGGCAAGGCCAACTTAAATAGAATTTCACTGCGTACCGAGGTTCCACTAGTCACTTCCGAAAAACTCGGTGTCTAACTTAAGTGGGATTTCGGGGATACCTAGCTCAATCGGGAATATCCTGATCTCTCCGACTTTCGCAATTACAACCGAGTAAGGCCTGCCTCGCCAGTCACTTCCGAAACCTCGGTGTCTAACTTGCGACGGAGGGGGTCGAACTCAGAGAAATTGAGAATACTGCCTGGTAGATGCGGTCGGGTATGTCGAATCACCAGTCGGGTGTATAAATATGTGCAAATAATCTTCAATAAAAGCGCTTATGGAGGTCCCAGAGTAACGCAATTAACCAACACTTGACTACTTGACACAAGTCAACTCTCAAAGTGCCCAAAGTAAGAGCTATAGACCAAACGGGACGGTACGGTTCGGCATTCTGTCGGTATTCGGTTAGACTTGTTTCACCGGTCAGCTCTTATTTGCCACCAGAGAAGTCCACTAAGCCCAACGTAGGCTTAGACCAAGTTCAAACGCAGATAACACGATTTAATAAGCAATATCTCATTTACGCCGTTACAGTTTTGAATACCTTTCCTTCCACTCGAATTCTAAACAATTCACTAAGGCGTAAATATAGATTTCACTAAGGCTGGTAAACCCATTCACAAACGGTTTGTTCTAACATATTATCAAAGTTTAACTCACAGTTATTTTTTATTTCCTTCAGTAAACTAGTTCGGTCAATATTCAAAAATAAACGGGAGACAAACTCTCTTCTCAAAACTCGTATGTCAAAGATATGTACTGAAAACGAAACACTACAATTTCTATGACTAAAGAACGAGTCAATCAGAGAAAAATAAAATCACCCGGATTCTGGATTAGGCTCTATACGGTAAGCAAAATTTCAACAACAATAAATAAATCCAGAACCTGAAAAATACTTAAATTACGGTTATCAGAATTACAACTATATCACTAAAACAGAACGCACTGGTTTAAACCGTTAAACGGAACACCCTTGTAACTCACCCCCTTACCTCCTGGTACAAGCGGGTGCTTCGGTACTACGGTTTCTGCCAGGAGAGAAGAACGAAAAAAAACAGCCCCGGCGTACATATGCCCGCGCTTTTATAGTGCTCGCCAATGTTCTAGAACCGACCTTGGTCGCTGCGTCATACCGTCCGCCACTGCGAATCTTCTTGACGTCGTGACGTGAGTACCCACACCCATAGGGCCATCTCGTTACCAAGGGCTAGATCAGACCCTGCAGGGTTTCAAGTCCCAAAAGGGCCTATAGCCAGTTCTAGCGTCTCCCCGACGTCCGGCAGTGCATCAGCTCCGTGCAGGTTGCAATTTCCGCACGTGCATTTAAACTAGGACTACAACCAAAAGGGACCTTAGTGCCTTTTTGCCCACTGTTAGGGACCTTACAGGGCCCACAACACCAAGAGGGTTGTGTGACAAGTCCTCTAAGGCATCGGGATGTGGAACCAAGACTTCTCATTCGTTATAAGGGCACTACATGCCTATTTCAGCCAGTGAATCGATACCCCACTTTGGCGGGTTGTTTTTCCCCTGCAAATCCCTGAACCTATTAGTCCTGCCTCATAAGGCATTCCTGACGTCCTGAATATCGTCTAGTGCTACCACAAGGCTTAAAAATTTATTTAAATCGTTTCATTCATTATAATAAATTCTAATACGGAAAACGAAAAATATCAATTTCTGACCATTTCTGTGTGTAACACATGGCAACAAAAACGACTGTGGTATGTCATAAAAACATCAGCTTTGCTTGAGGATTCGAGACTTAATAGCAGACAAAATAATATATAGAACAGGACACTATCCCAATTTTAGCATAACGGAACTATAATTAATGATTAATCTAAAATTTCACGTTTTCGAGAAAACGTGAATACGAGGGGAGGTCAGAAAGTATGCAATTCACGGCATCGGATAAAAAACATCATTACACAACTGGTGGGCAACTCAAACCGACTAGTGATGGCAGCGTGTACTCTTGCATCTATATACATTTGGAAAGCCAGGTAGGCTTCGGCTTGCGGATATCAATTGTTTTCGGTGAGAACGGTGTCCTATGAGCATTATACTTACGCCTTTTTTACCCTTTTCAGCATTTTTGATTTCTTCTTTTGGTTATAACCAGCATAGGCGAGTAATAGTTCTGCAAATTCAGCTTCGCTTATTTTGCCGTTTTCGTCCGGACCTTTTCTTTTAAATTCTAATGTCAAAATCTCTCTTTGTAATCTCTCTTGAAAGTCAAGAAATTTCTCAATGGTCAGTTTTTCTTTACAATTGGAGCCGAAAAAATACGATGTTAGTGCTGAATTTACTCCCTACAAACAAAATAGAGCTTATAAACTTTTGGGAGTACACATTAGTCACAACAGGAAAGTGTATAGTAACAATGTTACTTGTCTTTGAGTGGCTCCTGCGTTTGTCATGAATATATTTTAGAAACCTTCCTTGCCAACACAAAAAAGCGTATAAAGTAACTGTCAAATCTGTGTATTAAGCAATAAAATAAACAAACCTTGAATGTATTTCCAGTATTCACATGATCCCTGTGCCTCGATCCAATGCTCGTCTGTTGTCTTATCAGTGTAGCAACTTTTTCAAATTCTTCACAATCCACATTACCATCTCCGTTGAGATCGAACATGCGGAATGCTATTTCAAAATGGCGTCGAGAAGCTATAAATATATTATCACTTTCAGTATTCATTCAGAATAATGTAGTACAACGTTCGCTTTATGGTTCTTTGAAAAAATTCTAAAATAAGTCTTGTAATTGTAGTAAATAACCACACTCCCAACTGATCAGGAGATGTAGTAAATACCAAAATCAATTAGAATATCAAAATGTATAGGCTTCCATTAAATTACTGTTACTACGGCAGGGTTTATGTATCTTGAAAAGTGACATTGTCGTTTTTTGACATTTTTTTTTTCAACAAAATGTCAACTTAGCACTAGCTGTTATACACCTGTTGTGTACTCGTTATGTAGCTGTACGTGTTGCCTAAACATCATGATGCTTCAGCTATCAATGTTTGGCTCTGATGTGATGTTACATCTGCTTCAGAGATGACATTATTGGAGGTCTAAGCTGTAAGTTGTATACTATAGCTGGAGGAAAACGGCAGTGCATAGATGCATAGTGAGGATTTGTGTGCTAATAATCTGTGTTGGTGACAATTCCATTGGTTAGGAGTAAGAAAATTAGTTTCTCGTTGGATACCCCACCTGTTGACTGAAGAGCAGAAAGCAGCCAGGGTTAATTGGTGTCAACTACTATTCGTCTTTGTCTGTCAGAGCGGTCCGTAGGACCTTTGCTCTTGGTTGAAGTCTTGTAAGTCAGTAGGTCTGTCAGGTCTGGTTGCCCAAATACCAAACAAATCCGGGAATTGGTGTCAAAAAACGCTTGACCGTTTCAATTCCGGAAATTAAAAAAATGTGTCCAGCATTGTTAGTGGTGATGAATCGTGGATTTACTGTTATGAACCAGAAAATAAACGACAGTCGGCTATTTGGGTGTTCCAAGGTGAAGAAAGGCCAACAAAAGTCATCCGTTCTCGAAGTGTTTCGAAAAAGACGGTCGCGACATTTGTGTCAAAAGCGGGTCATATTGCAACATTTCCTCTTAATGCGGAATGTACTATTTTCACACTAGGAACTACCTAGGCAGCAAGTTGACATTTTATCGTTTTTTAGGTTTTTTTAATAGCCCTGAGGATGGACTTTACAAACACTTACAATTCAACGTGGTACTAGTACTATGAGTCATTAAAACCAGCTTATCTTTGAGTTGTTAACTCATTTCTAGATATTTTAGATGTATACTACGAATTTAAATTTTTTTTTTCGTGTTTAGGCTTTCGCTCGATTATCGGTTCTTTTATGAACATATACTTACTTGATAATACAGTCAGCAGAAAAATGTAGTCTGAGAACGTAATTAGTCCAGAACTTCCCAATTTGTAGAATATGCTATCCTCGTCTAGTTTAAGCTCAAGTTTTTCCTGGACAGTCTAAATAACAATTTTTTATTTTAGTAATAGCATCGTTATGCAGAGAACGATAGAAGGTTTTCAAATAAGAGCACCTCTATAACTGTATACATATATATAATAACTGTCACGGTTTGATTTGATGATTGCAACTTCATGCTCGCAACATTTTATGAATTAAAACTTAGAACCCTATTTAATATTAGATTATCTGACAATCACAAATACCGCATATATTAACGTTAGTAGAAAGCTTCACCAAATAACAATACCACATACGTAAACGTTAGCGTTAACCTGATTTGACAATTATTATCACACATACATTATTGGCTGAATGTTAGAACATTCATGTTAACGTTGCATATACGGTATTAGAGACTTTTGGAAACTACAAATACCACATACGAACACGTTAACGTTAATTAATGTTAACCTCATTAATAATTTAGCTCAATATAAATCATTGACACTAACGTAAAAATTACCTTGATGACATTCGCAGAGCGACAAATCTGGTCCATGAAGTGAGAAATGCTCATGAATTCCGTAATGAGCAATGGAGCGACTTTTTGGCGGGGATACTTGACTCAAGTATACCTCTCTAAAAAGTTGCAAAGTCGTTCAGAAACGAAAAGCGAGAACAACTCCCGCACATCCACGGTCCTGGGGACATTTTCTTTAGGAAAGAGGAAAAGGTAGAGGTTTTCGCTGATGCTATGGAAAGACAGTTTTCTTCCAACTATGACCTTCATAAATACCTCGACGAGGATCAACACATTGTAAGATCCGTCAGGAGATATTTTACAGCCAACGGCGTCAGTGGTAGTAGCGCCTCTCTTAGTGATCTCCCCCCAGAGGAGTCTTCTTCGGAAGATTCCTCAACTGAAGAGTCGTATTTCACGCAACCGAAATCTCCCGAGACCCCGAATTGCACACCAGCTGAGCTTCAAGGTCATATTAAAGACGTCAATAAAGCGCTGAAGCTACTTTCGCGAAGGTCATTACCTTATCCCGTGGCAGTAATTAATCCCATGCTAAGGACCCAGTACTTCCCAGCGGCGTGGAAGACCGCTGATGATATAATGATTCCAAAGAAGGTGCATTACAGACTCCTTAATCTACTGTCAGCTCCTTCTAATTTCGCTAAAAGATGTGTCATCTTGAAAATTTCTCGTCCGAACACAAAGTGATTCCTGACGTGCAATTTGGCTTTCGGTCTGTTACAGGCGGTTTTGGCTTGTTCAGCGAGTAACCAAAGGATTCACCCATAACAAAAGTACTGGCATCTTGCGTTTGGATGTCTCAAGTGCCTCCCCTACAAATTGATCCAAAAAGGCTTCCCCTTCTGGCTCCTAAAACTTTTGAAATCCTTCCTTGATTGCAGGAAATTTCGGAATAAAATTAATAACGTTCTGTCGACTACACGGCACGTCAAAGCCGGTGTCCCACAGGGTTCTGTCTTTGGACCAATCCTTTATTCACTTTTTATTCATGACGTCCTTTGTCCCAGCAACTGTGAAATTTATCTCTATGATGATGACACTGCCCTGGTGGTCCAGTCGTGTTCTGAGAATCTAGTTCACAAAAGGCTGCAAAGTGCTGTAGCCGAAGTATTGGAATAGGCGGATCGCTGGCTGATCAAAATTAATCATTCAAAAAGGCAGGCTATTTATTCTACTAAAAAACGTAGTAGCTCCCCGTCTGAGGTTTCAGTGGACGGAGCTCGGGTACCACGGGAGAGTTCTGCTAAGTATCTCGGTGTCACTCTTGACAAGAGGATGACCTGGCAGCAGCACACTGAAGCGTTATAACTAAATTCCAAATCACGTTTCGGCAACTCTACGATATGCTATGTAGAACCTCAAAATTAAGTTTGAAAAATCGACTATACAAGATGGTTATTAGATTAGCGATCACTTACGCAGGTGCTGATTGGTTTTTTCCGCCAAAACGCATTTCTGTAGTCTTCAGGTTTTGCAGAACAGAATCTTGCGTATAATCACTAACGCTCCTTCTATGTCTCCAATGAGACCCATCACAGAGACCTTGACATCCCTTATTTAAGGAACTACATTAAACAACAAACGCAGCAACGTTATAGTCAAGGGGAATCGCATAGCAACACTGTTGCGCGAGTCAGTAGACTACCCAGTCGAACAAGTGAACAAAATTAAATCGTGCTACTTTATTTCCAACCAACAGTATATCTTTTCTTCAATAACCAATCTCTAAATTAACTTTAGGATCAATTTAAAATTCCCGAGTTCTAGTTAACGATGCCTCAAGTTGACGTACTACTTTATTCTTCTTTGCTCTCCCTCCTTCCTCCCTTTTTGTCTTCTCTTTTTTCTCCCTGACTTTGTGTGGTATCTGGACAACCAGACCTTGCAGACCTACTGACTTACAATACTTTAACCAAGAGCAAAGGTCCTTCGGACCTCTCTGACAGACAATGACGAATAGAAAAACGTCGAAAAAGGCAATGTTTACGTATGTAGTATTTACGATTGCAAAAACTCTTTTGTGATCGACTGAAACCATCTAATACTAGGTAACCTCTTGACTGACTTCTATATTCCTTCAGACGTGTCGTGTAGCGCTACATGACAAAACGATGCGTCTGCCAGAATATGGAAACGCAGCAATTATATAATCGATAACCTAACACCATCTTCAAATACATATGCACACATACACATATTTGACCCTATCGTCAGTCGTTCCCACAATTGTAGGACGCCTCCTTGATTTTCATAGTTTTCTAGTGTTTCGTGTCAACGCTCTATTTTGATTTAATGTTACAAATATCTATTTGCATCAAATTGTTCATGCTTTTGATTTATATCATCTGTTATATCAGCCTGAAATTTCTCACACGTCAAAAAGGAAACATAGCATCACAATAGGAGAGCGCTGACGTTGACACGGAACAGTAGCAATCTAGAAATCCTTCTGGAGAGAAAAAAATATGAAAATCAAGGAGGCCATAAAGGCGTCCCACAATTAACTGACGATACGGCACATACAGAGGAAAAGCGTAATTGCAAGTATATATAAAGATATGCTAAAACAGGTACAACCAATAATTAACATATTTCACCAGAAGATGCCAGACCAAATGAAAGACGTTCCTGAGCGAAAATGCGCTTGTTATAGCATTTCCTGTTTCCTTCGCAGGTTTAATGTCATGTTTAAGAATAAATGATTTTCTTTCAAAGGAAATGAATGCCTTTTTTATTGCTCCTGAGGGAATTACTGTGATTCTACTTGGCAGCATAAAACATTGTAAGAGATCGCCTAAATACAGCGTATGGTTGGGCATCTTATTGGAGAATACATTGATCAATGTTAGTGATGACGTGTAGGTTTTTTTATGGAAGTTATCGAACGAACTCCTGTTCTGTATTGAGAAGAAGAATAATCAGCCAAGATTCCAACATCTGGGCCACTTTGGGCCCCTTGTATGTTCTTCTCAGGGGTTCTCCCAGGCTACGAAATCAGTCACTCCAAACTATTGGAAAAGGTGATCTTTTTCACGATTCGAATGCCTTTTTTATTACTTCTAATGGAATTACTGTGATTCTACTTAGCAACATACATTGTAAGAGGGGCCTAAATACAACAAATGGTTGAACATCTTATTGGAAAATACATTCATCAATGTTACAACATAAAATGCTATTAGTCGATAGTGATAACATGTAGGATTTTTTATGGAAGTAATCGAACAAACTCCTGTTTTGTATTGAGAGGAAGAGTAATCAGCTCAGATTCCAACATATTGACCACTTTGTGCCTCTTGTATGTTCTCAAGGATTCTCCCAGGCTGCGATATCAGTCACCCCAAACTATTGGAAAAGGTGGGACTGTCTTTCTCACGATTATATATTACCGTAGAATAAGAGCTGATTATCTAGTATTATTTCAAAAGTCCCCCTATCGACAAGTAACACACAATTTTGACGGATGTTTTTTTAGTTCGCTACGGCTTCATTTTGAACTTGCTAACAACTCTTTTATTTAGAAAAGTTCCTTCGCATTAAAAAAAAGGTACGAGCAAAACGGCTGCTAATGATACTGACTACATTTCAAGTCAGGTAGGAATGAAATAAGATAAACAGTTTTTGACTCTTAATCATCTCTACTTTTTAGAACTTGAAACACTCTATGATTTTGAAGGGCAATGAAACAGTCATATTTGAATTACATTACAGTGATGACGGACAATTATTACAGCTAGTAGAAAGGACAGCACCGGTCTGTTCTATTAACTCGTAATTAATAAATCCCAGGAGTACTATAATAATTTTATAATAAACATTTTCGATACTTATTGCCAACTTTACAGAGTAATACCATGATGTCACTTGTTGATGTCACTTCAGTAGATGTCAAAACGTAATGGATACTTGTGAAATAGGGTATACGAAATCGAAAGTGATATAGAGTGAAATCCATGTATGTACTACTGACGTCGTAATGTGTACGAGAGAGAATACGGACCTCGTTGCCGTGACGAGGCCACCGACGCCATCGACGCACTGTTTCTAACATAACATACATGTGTGTATTGCACGCTTTTCGCGCTACTCTGTCATACACATTAGGACGTCATGCAAATTTGAACCTCACCGTGTAACATAGTAAAGCGATAATTCTCTATCTAAAATAGCTCTATCAGTTCTTAAATAAATACGGTATCATAACTTCTGCTCTACAAGGGGTGTTTCAAATTCGACCCTCCCTCACCATTAGGACTCGGGAACGGTAAGACGCTTAAATGGTGACAAAGCTGCCTATTTAGGTAACTAACAAAATGCTGCCTAAATTCAAAATACTTCCAGAGAGAGAGAGAGAGAGACAGAAAAAATCGAATTATCCCAAGATAGTTTGAATTTTTTTCTGACTTTATTTGTAGTGGGATTCCAAAATAAATTATACGTTAACAGTACCGCTTTTTCTCCTCTACGAGCCCCTTCCCACTTCAGTTGACCCAACTATTGGAATCTTAGTTTTTT